AAAATACATATAAACTTAAAAGAAAAATATAAAAATTAATTTTTTTATATTACTTAGTCACGGGCCGGTAAGGAGCAGCGGGCCAGCCCAGGCTCGAGCCGACGTCCCAAAATGGGGCTCGATCCGAGCCTTGACTAGGTGGAATCAAGCCCGAGTCGGGCCCGACTGGAGCTTTTTTCGGGCCTAACCCGAGTCGGCGAGCTTTTTTTCCATCCCTACCTGTTTGTGGGATACCCTAAAGGTACCAAGGGATATTTTTTTTACAGTCCTCTCGATATGAAGGTCTTTGTTAGCACAAATGCAAACTTCTTGGAGGATACGTATATTAATGAACATTAGTCCAAGAGTAAGGTCATGTTGGAAGAAATGAATGGGAGCAATTACATCTCATCAATTCCTGAAACGCAAATCCGTGACAGACAACCTTTGGCGTCAGAAATACATAAACAATATGTTTTGAGTGGGAGAGATGGGTGATTATCTAATCCCATAAATCAAGCAAACGCTGGAGGTATTGATAAGGTAATGACATCACCTAATTGTGGTACCAACATTGATACAAACATTATAATTCTAAACGATGCCACAGTCCACGATCCACCGCCCATTAGACAAAGCCACAGGGTCATCAGACCACCTTCTAGATACTTGTTAGTTAGAGACTCAAACCAGGTGATCTCCACAAAACAAGTTAATGATCCAACTTCATGTAAGGATGATATGAATTATGTGGATGCAGATTTATGACAAAAAGCTATGCATACTGAAATGGAATCTATGCATCCCAATTAGATTTGGGAACTTATATATGTATCAGAAGGGATAAAACCCATCGGGCACAAGTAGGTCTATAAGAGAAAGAGAGGAGAGGATGGGAAAGTGCAATCTTTCAAAGCAAGGCTATTGGCTAAGGGTTTTACCCAACGAGAAGGCGTCAATTACGAGGAGACCTTCTCACTTGTGACTATGCTTAAGTCTATCTGAATTCTCTTATCCATTGCAGGTCATTTTGATTATGAGGTGTGGCAAATGGATGTCAAGTTGACATTTTTAAATGGCCATCTTGAGGAATGTATCTCTATGATACAACCAGATGTATTCATATAACGTGGTTATGAAAGCAAAGTATGTAAGCTTCAACGATCCATTTATGGGTTAAAGCAGACATCAAGATCTTGGCACAAAATATTCGGTGAAGTGATTAATACATATGGTTTTGATTAGAACTTTGCTGAACCCTATGTCTATAAGAAGATATGGGATAAAATTGTAATTTTCCTGGTGCTTTATGTGGATGATATTCTACTCATTGGAAATGATGCAGGAGCGTTATCATCTACGAAAGCGTAGTTGATCCTACAGTTTCATATGAAAGACTTATGTGAAGCTGCTATGTTCTAGGCATTCAAATCTTAAGAGATCGAAAGAACAGGCAGATAGCTTTATCTCAAGCTTCATTTATTGACAAAATACTTGTTAGATTTGCCATGCACGATTCCAAGAAAGGTAATATACCCTTCAGACATGGAATCCAACTATCTAAGGATCAGTCTCCTAAGACTCCTGTCGAGATGGAGTGCATGAGTAGGATACGTTATGCATCGACAGTTGGTAGTCTCATGTATGTTATGCTGTGCACTAGACCTGATATTTGTTATGATGTTGGTATGGAAAGTTGATATTATTCTAATCCTGGACCGGAACATTTGGTGACTGTAAAGTAAATCCTTAAGTATCTTCGGAGGACAAAGAATTATATGCTTGTTTTCTTATCACCAGATCTTGCTCCAGTGGGTTATACAGATTCAGACTTCCAGGTAGATAAGGACTCTAGCAAGTCTACATCAGGGTTACTGTTTTACACTTGGTGGTGGGGCAATTATTTCAAAAAGTATCAATCAATCAAGTATTGCCGATTCCACCATGGAAGTTGAATATGTGGCAGCTTGTGCCGCTAAAGAAGCGGTGTAGCTTAAAAAATTCCTAACGGACATCGAGGTGGTATCTACATCTGGACAACCCTTAACACTGTACTATGATAACTGTCGGGCAATGGAAAATGCTAAAGAAATAAGGAGTTATCAGAGGGTAAACATATCAAACGGAAATATCATCTCTTGAGAGAGATAGTTAGTAGAAGAGATGTGATTGGTAGTAAAATTGCTACTAAGGATAACATCGTGGATCAATTTACCAAAATTCAGTTGGCTAAGGTTTTCGATGGACATTTTCAAGGCATGGGGTTAAAAGACATGACACATATACTCTAAGGCAAGTGGGAGATTTGTTGGGTTGTGTGCCCATATAGTATAATTTTGCTAATGTAAAAAATAACAATATTCTTATATTGAATAAAATAATTATTTATTGCATTTATTTATTATTGAGTATGCAAATTAAAATTCCTATGATAACTTGTGACGATATAAGTTCGGTACTTACGTTGAGAAGTACAGTGACACAACTTCTATTTTGATCATATATATTTTTTTCACTACCAATGTATAAGGGTTGGCACCTTGTACCAAAAGGTTGTAGTGTTATCCGATTCACTATTCGGGTTTGTGATTTATCCTTATCACATAAATAATTAAAGGTGACACTAGTACACTTGGAATGTATTGAACACACCACGTGTCGAGTTTAATTCTATAGTATGATCGTGTAGAGAATTAAATTCCATTTGACCGCTGTGTATTTCATCTAAATCGGTTGACAGAGTTATGAATATCTTTTCATGATTTTAATGGATCTTTATTCATCAATGAATGAAATCAATTTGATTGGTCAAATCTGTCGATGAGTTGGGAACTTGAGAATGAGCGAAGTAGAGAATATGAATTCGTGTCAGGAATCGTCGCCTTAAAAAGAAGGGTAAAGTGACTACTTAAATATTTTTTGTTGAACGGTTAAAATCCGAACTCAGTATTTAGCGACAGTTAAATTTTAACATCTGTGATTTGTTTAAACGATCGTTGAAAAAAAATAGTATACTTAAATTAGTGAGAATAATTAGAGGAGTAAAACGGTCATTTATGCTCCGTACTTAATTATCGAATCTCGGATGGAGTTAAAATACATATACAACATATTAGAGGAAAATATTATAGATTTATTGGTTTTTGTTATATTATATATTTCAAGAGTTCAATCTTTTGCCTCTAATGAAAAAAACAAAGACTAATAATTAGATTGAGTGGTCTAAGGTCGAATAGACATGATCTAATTATTGGAACTTGGATAATATATGTCCAATTAGGCCCCCGTGGTAGCTTTATAAGTAATTGAACTTAATTACTGTAATTATAATAGTTTTGGACTTAATTGTAATTACAATAAAGTTTTGTACTTATTTGTAATTACTATAAAAGTTGTAAACTTAATTACAAATGTAATTGAAGTTCTAGAACTACACATGTAATTAAATGTAATCTAATTGGATTTTGATTTTAATTAAAACTCCTACTTTGATTTCAATTAAGACTCTTATTTGATATTTAAATTATTATTCTACGCACATTGTGACATCTTTATCTCTATAAATAGAGATTAGATAGACAAAAATATTACTACATTCATAATACATAATTCTATATTGTTCAAATTTGGAGAAAGAGAAAANATTGTCCAATCCAAGAATTAGTTTCTTAATTTAATTAAAAGAATGTGCTCACACACCAGTGTAATCTTTACTTTGGATAGTACCATATAAGATTTGGAGGTTTGAAGCATTAACTTATTGCAATGAAAAGCTGGAATCTCGTGATCCAAAAAATTAAAAGTTCGTAATTTTGATTCAGTTCTAGAATTGATCATCGAATTTAAGTAAAAATTTCGATCCTTATTTTTGTTATATTATATACGTGAACATGTAGACGATGTTGTTTACTGAATTAAATTTTTTTTTTTTTTAATTTCTTAATAATTTCGCTTAGCATTCTAACATCATCACATGAAGAAAAGAGGGGATAAAAAATTAAACGAGCCCGTGCCCTCAACAGAATAAAACCAAGAGATATCCTCTTTAAAAAAGAATATTCCCAACTCTACAGCTCGCATATTCTCTCTCCCCCATTACCGTTACATCAAACCCCTACCCGCTCTCTTTTTACTTATTTCCTCTTCACACTTTCCTCTCCAAAACCAAAATTTTAGTCAGTTCATTTTCTGGTTTTCAATCAAACCCATACTTTTAAATCCACTGAATTTGTGTTCTCAACCTAACCAATTTCAATTTTGCTGAATTTTTCAGTTTTTGGGTTTTTAATCGGTATGAAGTTTGGCAAGAGTTTGAGCAATCAAATTGATGAGACGTTGCCAGAGTGGAGGGACAAGTTCTTGTCGTACAAGGAGCTGAAAAAGAAGCTCAAGCTGATCGAGCCGAAGGGGCCGTGCTTTTCGTCTGGGGAAGAGGGGAGGGCCAAGAAGAAGCAGAAAGCGGACAGTGAATTGGCCGACGGACGGGAGGCTATGACGGAGGCGGAGGCAAATTTTGTCAAGTTATTGGAGGATGAACTTGAGAAATTCAACGCTTTCTTTGTTGAGAAAGAAGAAGAGTGCATAATCACATTAAAGGTAATTCTGCTACTATGCTATAAGCATATTCTAATTCTATTACACCTTTAATTATGCCCTGCTACTTTTTTTGATCGAATAGTTTGTATTCTTTTGAGGTGCTTTGTTTGTCAAAGAATTTTTACTTTTTTATTACTACTCTTGTGGAGTTGGAGCTCTTTGTCCCTTTGAAGAATATTTGCAACTTGACAATTTACTATTTCAACTTTTTGACCACAAATTAATTAGGAATTCTTCCTTGGATCCCGGATCCGGCTTTTGTGATCTGAAAGAAGGCCAAGTCATTAACTTGTGGCTCATATGAGCTGTTCAACTCGTGGTTCAATATGAAATCAGAACTTGCAAAGATATTTAGGATGTGTTTGATTGCAAGCATGGAACTTGCTTGGAAAGAAATTGTCTAAGAACTTATTTGCATGGAAATTGTCCATTTGACTGACTTAATTTTTAGCCTAGAAAATGTTGTAATTTTTCATAAAGTTGAGTTGCTGGGAAATGTGAATTGAGGTGTGACTTGCCCAGAAAATAAAAACCTACCCCCATCAAAAAAATGATTTCCTTGTTTTTGAGAAAACATGGTTACGTGACAAATTTTTGAAAAATATTTTCCATGGAAAGTAGGAAGTTGGATGGAAAAATGACATTTTCCATGAAAAATAAGGCCAATCAAATACAAACTCAGTATAAACGACTGAGGTTGCCCATTAGTGAAAATATTTTGCGCCAATTAGGGCTTTATTAGTTGCTCTTGCTTGTTGAGGTTAAAGATTTAAATGAATGAATATATTGGGGCACTTAAATCTTTAGTTGAAGTGGTTCAAGAGGGACTGTTGATTCACAAATATAAAAGCAATATCACTATGCTACTAAGGGCTTGTTTGGTACGGCTCAAAATCCAATTAAAATTGAAAATATAGTCGTTATTGGGTCCCACTCATCTAATAAAAGTCAACAATAACGGCTGGTTTTTCAATTTTAATCCGATTTTAATCTCTACCAAACACCCTCTAAAATTTTGACCAAAAAATCCTAGTTATTGAGNGTTTGATTGCAAGCATGGAACTTGCTTGGAAAGAAATTGTCTAAGAACTTATTTGCATGGAAATTGTCCATTTGACTGACTTAATTTTTAGCCTAGAAATTGTTGTCATAAAGTTGAGTTGCTGGGAAATGTGAATTGAGATGTGACTTGCCCAGAAAATAAAAACCTACCCCCATCAAAAAAATGATTTCCTTGTTTTTGAGAAAACATGGTTACGTGACCAATTTTTGAAAAATATTTTCCGTGGAAAGTAGGAAGTTGGATGGAAAAATGACATTTTCCATGAAAAATAAAGTCAATCAAATACAACCTCAGTATAAAAGACTGAGGTTGCCCATTAGTGAAAATATTTTGCGCCAATTAGGGCTTTATTAGTTGCTCGTTGAGGTAAAAGATTTAAATGAATGAATATATTGGGGCACTTAAATCTTTAGTTGAAGTGGTTCAAGAGGGACTGTTGATTCACAAATATAAAAGCAATATCGCTATGCTACTAAAATTAACTGGTTTTTTAGGATCAATAACTCATGTAGGATGCAATAGAATGACATCCTTTTCCTTTCACCTGATTGTTATCATTTTTTAAACAGCATGTTTCAGTATGATAAAACTTTTGCTAGTTTTAAGTCATTTTATGACATTCAATTTGTTATGTACATCTCGGCCACAATGATGTGAGCATAATAGCAAAGAGTGCTACGTGGTATTATGTAATCCATTACATAAATCTTGATATACATGTAGCAAGATTCTTCCACTAGGATTTTGCTACTTGTATATAAACAAATGTACATAATGAACTACATAATATAATTTGGAGGAAAAAAATAAAAAAGTTGATTGTTTTAAACTGGCAAATGATAGAGTGTCATATGGCATTTATGTAATCCATTATGTAAATTCTAATGTACATGTAACAAATCCATTCCACCATATGTTTAGTAGGATATAATCATCATTGTGATTTTAGCGTTTAAGGCATGTTTCTGGACTTTATTGGATGAATTTATTAAGAAATTGTATCTTCCTATTCCGTCTAATACTGCATGCCAAAAATACTCTTATTAATTCTTAATTAGATGCTTTACTATAAGTTGGTGGTGAATACTTGGTTTTGGTATTGAACTTATGTATTTCACATTATTTTGTGTAAAGGAATTGCAAGATCGGGTGGCTAAGGCCAATGATCAGAATGATGAGATGATTAAAATCCGGAAAGAAATTGTCGACTTCCATGGGGAGATGGTTTTACTGGAGAATTACAGTGCTCTTAATTATACAGGTAATAAAACCTTGGCAGTTTGTTCTCTTAGCTCTTGAATCTAATTGCTTTTCTTTTTGTTTTTTGCACTGACGATGGCTTTAGAACTATGAATTCCTCGACTTTTTGGCAATAAAATAATTGGGTCATAATATGAGCAAATCTAAACTTCCATAACTTGCTTCTTTCTGTTTATGGTTCTAAAATTCAGAGAATTATCCCTCGTGGCATCAATAGCTAATTTGCATATATAAATGTCAGAATAACAACAATGCTTCATAGCGACCATAGTTCTAATCTTTTTCATTTCAATGTGCTGGAGATAAGTGGGTCGATAAATAAGGCTGATAGTGATACCAGCCTTTTGGTGGAAAATTTATTCATAGAGAATTGGTGCAATGCTCGAACTGTAGTATACATGATGCCTTACAAATGATTTTTTTTTTTTTTGTAACCTCTGAGGCGAAACATCACTAAGATATAGTTTTAATCAACATGTGTTAAACAGGACTGGCAAAAATATTGAAGAAGTATGACAAAAGAACTGGTGCTCTTCTTCGCCTGCCCTTTATACAGAAGGTTGTCCAACAGCCATTTTTTACCACTGACTTGCTGTACAAGCTCGTGAAGGAGTGTGAGACAATGCTCGACAATCTGTTCCCAGTGAACAAACCCTCAACTAAAACTGAGGCAGTTGATGGAGACGAACCCTCGACCAGTTCCACAACCGACAATGAAGTTCAGGTTAAAGGCCCGAAGGAACTTGCGGAGATCGAGTTCATGGAGAGCCTGTACATGAGAAGTACTATATCTGCATTACGAGTTTTGAAAGAGATTCGTAGTGGAAGCTCAACCGTTAGTGTGTTTTCATTGCCACCATTGCAGCTCAGTGGATTAGAGGATGCTTGGAATAAAGTCCCTGCCGTAGAACAAGTTGCTGAATAGTCGAATTATATGGAGGATGGTAGGACCTGATATTGCCACCGTGTAATATGAATTTTGATCACTGTAGATTTCTCTTCTCGTGCATTTGCTATGCATGTACTCTCCTAACACAGTAACACGTAAAATGCATAAATTGAATCTCAAATAGTTGATAGTTTCTATAATCGTGAGTAAGATTCTGATGGCACAAAGTCAATTTCACCCGTTCTACTTTTCCATGATAGTTTCCCCTTTCCATTGTAATATTTCTTGTTACACTTGAATCAATTTTGTAAGTACGCCTTTTGTGGTTTGCTTGAATCAATTTTGTATGGACTCCTTGTGTGATTTGTTGTACACTTTTTAAGATCCATTCTACTGCATGACGGAGATAGTGCCTATGTATCGACTAGCAGGTGCAGTGATCATTGCAACTGATCGGACATATATACTCACAGACAATAAGCATATGTTTGATGCTCTATATTTCACCAAATTTATTTTTTGCAACGGTATAATGGGCTCACATCCAAGGGCGGATCCAAAAAATTTTTCCAGTGCGGGTGGTATTAATAAAAGTAAAAAAAAAAAATTATAAGACAAGTTACTAAACTGGTGGGTGTTCAGATGTGCCCGTGGGGAAAAATGGATGGACAAGTGTGAAGGATGAGACAAACAGCTTTGACAGTGCATATATAACAGACAATTGCTCAAAAATAACTCAAGGGGAACTAAATGAAGCTAGAAAAGCTACATGTTGTCCACGAATTCCAGGAGCATTGGCTATGAATAAGTTAGGAAATCCATCTTCAAATTTCCTGATTGATTAAATACACAAATAAATCTATGTTGCCGTACTTTTAGTTTCATAACTCATATGTTGGAGAAATATCAAAAAAATTGAATAACAAGACAACTAGTTCAAACCTTATTTATCATTTCACGCCCAATAGCAAATAGATAAATTCAGTAAAAGGATACTCATTATGACAATGTAAACAACAATCATAAAGGTTCCTAACGACAGGCAGTAAGATGAAAGATCATCAAATTACACTTTGTTCCATCATAAGTAGAGAAGAAGTCGCATTTTCTCAAACATGGTACTTTAATCATGGTATTTCCAGGCTCCAGTGCAAGTTAAAATTAGTAGTTACTAGTTATAAAGACAAAACAGCCACAGCCAAAGGCCCAAAGACAGAGATAATTTCCAGCCCAGTGCCCACAGAATTTTCCCCCT